GTGCACCGAGCTGCCCAGATAGCTTACATTTCATAAACTAGTCATGTTTAGTTGTTCATTTTTAATTGGTATTTTATGCAGTTGATGGAAATGCAGAACAAGATCCAATGAAATTGAAGCAATTCGTGTTGAACAAGGCTAGTAATGTGTCTAAAGAACTCTCCACCATTATAGACAGAACTACGCTCGACTGTATATCTATTGCTCAGCTGAAATTGAGGTTGCCATGGAATGTTCTGCTTGGAATATTTAGAAAATAACGTTTGCGTGGTAGGTGATGCACTTCATCCCATGACTCCTGATCTTGGTCAAGGTGGATGTTCTGCTTTAGAGGACAGTGTTGTTATCGCAAAGTGCCTCGGAGAAGCCTTGATAAAACCGATAACAGAACAAGAGATGATGAATCTACGAAGATTAGAAAAGGACTCGAGAAGTATGCTAAAGAGAGGAGATGGAGAAGTTTTACATTTATCAGTGCTGCTTATTTATCTGGTTTCATACAAGAGAGTGATAACAAGATAATCAGTTTCTTAAGATTTTGGCTGGAGTCACTATATCAGTTACACTAAGAATTGCTAACTTCGACTGCTGAAGATTAACTGTTTCTTAGTTGCTCAATTGGATCCTTTAGAAGCTATGAATATCCTTTATGGACTTTGTTTAATATCTTTCTAGCATACATGTTCTGGTTTAGTTATGTCTAAGTAAGACCGAATCAGATCCTTATTTTACAATAATAAAATTGTGTCCTTCATCAAAGATATCCAACAACATCAGTTGTTTAGAAGCAAATATGGTAAAAGCTGCATTTTATTATTATCATGGAAAACAGTGTTAAAGGTAAATCTCTGAAGTATAGAATAAGTGTTTTCTTATCTGAGATCATTTTGTGCAATTAGATACTACTCCTTCTATTTCAAATCTGGTTTTGACTTGACACGAAGTTTAATAGAGTAAAGAAGATCACTTTTGTATCTTGTGGGCTCAAATTTAAAATATGTTGAATGTACCATTGACCACTACTTGGTTCAATGACTTCCAAATTCCACATCATTGTTTTGTTACATACTCTTAAGTAGATGTATGAGGAAATGCAGGTGTCAAATCATGTCTTTAATTAATGTTGTATAGTTTCTCTCATTGGAAATTTGTAAGAAGTCTGCAGAAAATTTCTGTACAGTGTGTGTTACGTAACGGGATCATTTCACATCGTCTTGCGTAACACACACTGTAGAGATAGTCAATGACCTCGAAATGAAAACAATATTTAGAGAAAATTAGGACATAGTGAGTATTATTTGGTTAAGTCTTACTTCGTCGTCTAAAAAGTCTTGTGGAATAATACAAAATATGAGTAACAAGTTACTCATTTTAGTAGAATGAGCCACCCGCTAACCTGTGACTTAGAGATATGGAGGCGATCCTCAAATGTTTAGAAACAAATATTTGCTTCAGAATTTGTCTGTATAGAGAAACAGATCCACAATTAGTAATATAGAGATATTGTGTGTGCTTTAATTTCTGCTGTATTGTTTGATCTTAGTCAAGGACCTGGTCCCTTGACCCCAGCGGGTGGATTCATACGATTCGTGGCTCGATCCTTAACTGGTTTAGCTACATGAGATGGGATTCATTGTCGCACCTAAACCTTTCACATAATTCACCTACAAGAAACGTAATATAGATCCTGTATAATATTAACAAGTAATGTTGGAATAATCTCATGATTTTTTTTTTTTTGTGGTCTATGTAAGAACCTTGCTATTTTTAGCATTTGCTTCGACTAATGATTTAGTTATTTTCCGTCTCATCATATTTGTCCTTTTTTTCCCCTGTAGTCTTTGTGGAAATTGGCTTAAAGACTTGGAAGTTTTTTAAACATCTATTTCTACTACAACTACATGGATGTGAAAAGTCTGGAAAATTATAGAATGTGACTCACAAGTGGGAAAAATTCCACACGGTATCATTAATGTTACATCCTAGCAACTCCAGAGAAGCTACCTGAACTGTATCATATTTCTCCCTTTGTTTCCCTGTAGTTTTTGTGGAAATTGGCTTAAAGTCTTCGAAGTTTTTTAAACATCTTTTTCTACTACAACTACTTGGAGTTTCTCCTCATTAACTTAGTCAAGAAATAGAAATTTGTTACAAGTTCTGCAACAAATTTTTCTACCGTGTGTGTTACGTAACGGGACCAATTCATATCATCTTAGGTGACACACACTGCAGAGATGGTCGATGACCTCGAAATGAATACACATCTAGAGAAAAATTAGCTAGAACATAGGTGAGTATTAATTATTTTCCCAAAGTCATTTCCGTTTTCTAAAAAGTCTTGTGAAACACTACAAAATACAGAGTAACAAGTAGACATTTTAATTTGTATAAAGTTGAACAAATAGACACACATGTCCTACGTGACATCCTACATGTCATTTTTTATCCTACGTAGTGTCCTACGTGTATTATGTCATGTAGGACTCATGTGTCTACTTGTTCAACTTTATACAAGTTTAAGTGCCTACTTGTGCATATCCAAAGTTGAAGGACATAAACGTAAAATGAGGCCAAGTTAAAGGGCACATTTATGTTTAATGCCTTTTTGGAAATAGACTTCTGAGGGGGAAAGTACCCCATTTTATTTAATAAAAACTACATAATTAGACATACTTAACTACCATATATACATATATTATCTATAGTTTAAAATATTACTCTTAATACCACTTTTTAATAATTATACCATATATTTTAAAAAAGTTAAATCTTATATGATATTGAATAATTATCTTAAAATTTAAACTCCTTAATAGAAGGTACATTAACAATTAACCTCCCTCAATTAGGGGTGTGCATTCGGTTTTTCGGTTTGGTTTTACACTATTCGGTTTGGATTTTCGGTTTTTGGTTTTGTAAAAATGTAACCCAATCCGATCCAAAATAAATTTGGTTTGGTTTGGTTTTCCTCTATTCAGTTCGGCTTTTTTCGGTTTGGTTATTCGGTTATGTCAATAATTAATAAAAAATAAACCAAACCAAAAAACCAAACAAAGTAATTTATTAATCCAAAACCAATCTGAAAAACCAAAAAACCAATCCAAATAAAAATTCGGTTTGATTTGGTTTGGTTATTCAGTTTAATCCGAATAGTGCACACCCCTACCCTCAATCTCCTTCACCAACTATATATCTCCTCCCCCCAAACCCCACGTCCTCTGCCATTTTTTCTCTCTTCCTTCGTCCTCCTCATAATATCTAATAAAAACGATTTTGGTTCATATTTGAATCCCAGGTGTATCTACATGTCCTATGCACATGTCATTCTTCCATATGTCTGATGTTTGTGTATCCAAATGTCTTATGTATCTTCCTTTCATCTATATATCTACCGTTCTTCTCCTTATTCTATGTATTTTGTTTATTTATTAAATGTATATGTATTTTCTATTAAATATATATGAGTTGTAGAGTTCATATTGCTCTAAAGTTTGATTTTATAAACTTTTACAAATTAGGTTTTACATTGTTTGCTAGCTTTTGTTGTTTCTCAAATTTTAATGAATGACCATTCATAAAACAGGTCGAAAATAGATCTAAGTTTAAGAACGATCCTTTAAAATTGTTGAATACATGTATCTCACCTTTAATTCAAATTAATAGCACGTATCTCGATTTTTAATACTGTTGGATACACATATCTCACTTTTAATGATACATGTATCTCGCGGTCATGATTTGTTCCTAAAATTTGTGTGTTTCAGTTGCATTTTATATTTAGATCCACATAATCACATGTCTATACTTACTATGTATTCGAGATACATGTTTTTGAATATAATGTATGAAATTGATACATCAAATTAATACTAGATACGTGAAATTAAAACTAGATCATATAAATAGATACATGAAATTAATACTTGACACATATAACAAATACACGAAATTAATACTAGATACTTCTATGATACATATGAATGTACTTGTATAATACTCATGTATCTAAGTATTTAGTTTGTTGGATACATCATATATAGATAATAGATACATCAAATTAACGAATTTATTATTTTAAGAGTACTAAATGAAATTAATCAAATTACATGACCAAGATATACATGCTTTTGTTTATTACTAATAATATAATGAATTTATTATTTCAAAGGATAATTTTGAAATAATAAATTGAAATTAATTAAATATAGATACACTCCTTGATTTCCGCCTTATGATAAGCGATTTGATTAATTTAAATTTTCAGAATTAATTATTCATGTATATCCTTAATTACTCCTCTAATTAAGGAAATTGGTTACAACCTATTAATTCAAACAAATAAAATATGTATCTCATACATGTATCTCCAGATTCAATCTCATGTATCCTAAGTATGAAAATATGGTAGAGGAAGTAATATTTGAAACTATCGGGAATCTTAGTAATTAGGACCTAAACTAGTGGGATTTATGTAGTTTGCCCTTTTATTTATCTGGATATTTTTCTTTAATTTAAACCTCACACTTCCATAGACTAGTCAAAAACAACATCAATAATATCCCTTAAGTCGGGATTTAAGAAAGGTAAATCTGAAGTATTTTAAAAGTGTTGGCTTATCTGAGAATTAGATGTTACTTCCTCCGTTTCAATATGTCTGTATGTATGGTTTTCACTTGACATGGAATTTAATAAAAAAATAAAAAAAATTATATCTTGTGGTCTAAAATTAAAATATGTAGAATGTACCATGACCCACTGTTGACACCCAATTTTGGCCTAATATTTTCAAAAATTCATAACTTTTAAGTTTTATTTATTTAATAGTTCAAGATAATTTTTTTTATAATTTTAAATAAGTTTATCGATAACTATTCTTATTTATCAAAATTTAGAAATTTTTTTTCCTAGTTAATCTTAAAATTACACTTTTTACATGTCATTAGTTATGTTCATTACATTTTTTAATATTTATTTTTAATATAGTTCAGAAATTCATTTCGATGTGGATAAAATTTCTTACACATATATTTTGGGCCACAACCTTGAGCCCATGACTTGGGCCCATTGATAATTTCCAATTCTCTACATATAGAACTAACACATTAGGTTAAAGGGGGTGGTGAATTTATTTTTAGAATAAGGTCATAAACTTTTCAGATTTTTGTTCACAAGGGGTTTCCGGTCACCACCACCCCGGAATCCGGCGAAGCTCCGGCAATACAAAACCCCGACTCAAAACCTCCATTTTCTTTCCTTCACTGTTCATCCTTAAAGAAAACACCACCAAAGAACCTCCAAAATTCGTCTTCTCTCCCCAATGCCGTTTCCGGCAAGACAACGAACCAAAACATCCACCAAACCCATCTTTGTTCCCTTTCTCATTTTCCGGTGAAATAAAAACGACCCTAAATCCACCAGAAATCCCACACAAACCAGACCACCACAAAAACCCCTCGGAACCGGTCCCTTCCCCTCTCCCTTTTTACGATTTTTAGTCCATTTTTGCAAGTACTCCGGCGAGGTCTCAAAGCTCCAGAACCCATCTTCGGCGAAACGACGCCAATAACCACAAACTCCGGCGAAGCTTCATGCCATGGCTATGACGACGGTCAGCAACAACAAACCACCATGAAATAACCAAATCCGGCCTTCTAAGAGAAAAAACTTTCAGATCTGCCCGGAAAGGTAATAATTTTGACAACCGTATTTAGTCATTGTTTTGTTCTCATGTTTATACTAATTATTGTATTATTTTTCATAATGTTGTGTTGTTACACATAATTTTATCATTATTGCTATCATTATTTGTGTATATTGTGGGTTTGTCTCCATTTTATATTGTTATTTTCCTTGTATTTATTTGATGAGTTATTTAGTCACAGTTGGAGTAATTGTGTTCTGCTTTAATTATATGTTGGTATTTAATTATTATTGTTGTTAATGTTCATTTTGTGGGTTATCCGCTTTATATTAACTATGCACTAGTTATTATTAGTTGTTATTTTTTAATTTTTCGTGTTGAGTTTTGTTAACTATGTTATTAATCTTTGCAAATGTTGGAAAAATAAAGAAATATTCAGCAACTTTATTTTGGTTTCTGGATGACACGTAATGTTACTTGTGACATATATATATTTAATTTATTATGCTGCAATCATTTAGATTTTCAAAAGTTGGGTAGTAATTAGTTTTTTATATATTCTTTATTACTTATTGGTTGTTATCTTGTTTTCTTGTTATTTTGGACCACTATAATGTTGTATATCGTTGGTTTGATTATTCTGTTGTTGAAGATTTATTCCAATGGAGTTTACATTATTTTAATATTGGCTAATTTTGATTATCTATTACGTTCTTTCATTCGCTAAATTTTTGTTTGATGCTACACTTGTTTATATATTTACTTGTTAAAATTGGCCAATGAAAAAATCTCTCCGTCGATTTTGGAGGCCTCCATATTGTAAAAGACGGAAATTTAGTTTAAGTTCATATTTGTTACAAGTTGAAATTGACCAATGAGAAAATCTCTCCATAGATTTTGGAGGCCTTTACATTGTAAAAAACGGAAATTTAGTTTAATTTCATATATTTTGTTTGTTCAAAATGGCCAATGAAAAATTCCTCCGTCGGTTTTAGAGGCTTTTCCATTTTTTAAAGACGGAAATTTAGTTAATGTTTATATTTTTATATGTCAAAATCGGCCGATGAAGAAATTACCGTCGATTTCCAAGGTCTCCCATTTTAATAAGACGAATTTTTATTTTTTAAGTTATTGTACAATTCATTTATTTTTATTCATATTTATTTATTACTAACACTTTTACTAAGTATCTTTATAGGTACCCGGAGCTGCTTCCCATTGAAGCTATTCGAACAAAGTTCGAACAATATTTTGATTCATTGTCGTATATTATTGACGATAGACAAATCTAGGTTGTTTCTTATATTATTTTATTTTATTACTTGTGTATCTTGTTATGTTTGTTTTATTTATATATTATTTTTATCTCCTCCTCAATTTGAAAAAGTGAACTCAGTCGGGACCCACAATTGTGGATTTCGAAGGATGCCTAACCCCTTCCCTTCGAAATAACTTGAATCCCTTACCTAGAATCTCTTGGTTTCGTAGATTAATTAATTGGTTTCCTAGTTTTCCTAAAATTAGGTGGCGACTCCTTTAACATTCCTTTAATCAAAAAATTTTTTTAAAAATTGAATCAATTGTTTATTTTTTGAGTCATCGCGACGTTTCGTCCTATTCGAATAGAGTAGGGATGTAAACACCCACTAATTGGTTCAATGACTTCAAAATTCCACTGGAACATTGTCTTGTTAAATCATGTCTTCAATTATTGTTTTTTTATTTTTCTCACTTGACTTAGTCAAGCAATAGTATCTCTCATTGGAAATTTGTTACAATTCACATTGTTTTGCATAACACTCACTACAAAGATAGTGGATGACCTCAAAGTGAAACAACATTTAGAGAAAACAAATATGAAATAATTGGTACTAGCAACCAAAGACTTTGAGTCTTTATGGAACTTGACTTAACATTAGGGACTAAAAAAGCAACATAGTGGATGACCTCGAAATGAAAACAACATTTAGAGGAAAAAACTATGGAATAATTGGTACTATAGCAACCAAGACTTAAAAGACTAAAAGACTCATTAATGTTGCATTACATGCATATTCTAAGTAATGTTGCATTACATGCATATTCACACGGTATCATTAATGTTGCATTAAATGCATATTCTAAGTAAAGACAGGAGTTAAATCATGTCTTCAATTATTGTTCTTTTTATTTTTTTCACTTGACTTAGTCAAGCAATAGTATCTCTCATTGGAAATTTGTTACAATTCACATTGTTTTTCATAACACACACTACAAAGATAGTGGATGACCTCAAAATGAAAACAACATTTAGAGAAAACAAATATGAAATAATTGGTACTAGCAACCAAGACTTTGAGTCTTTATGGAACTTGACTTAACATTTGGGACTAAAAAAGCAACATAGTGGATGACCTCGAAATGAAAACAACATTTAGAGGAAAAAAAATATGGAATAATTGGTACTATAGCAACCAAGACTTAAAAGACTTGAGTCATTATGGAAATTGACTCAACATTTGGGACAATTTTTTTTACAACCACAAATTAGTTTGTGGTAGATGGGGGGCAAGTACCCCATTGAGTTCGAATCATGAAGTTAGTATCCGAGACATGTATAATACACAATTGCAAATAGTATGGACAAGAGGGGGTTGCTTAGGTGGTAGCACCTTCCACCTCTTAGCTTAATGTTAATTATATATACTACTTTATTCATGTTTTAGTTTGACTCGGTGAAGAAGATTCTTGAATTTTGATTGATTATGGGAGAAGGCGTGGAAAAAAACTCTAAAAATTATGTACTGATATTGTATAATATTTTCCATCTATATTGTTATGATTAAAGTCCTAACAAGAATGTGTATGTTGTATTTTTTTCTTCTCTATTTTTTTATTGTTTGTTTTTCTTTCTATTAGACTACTTTAATTCGATTTTATATGAATTTCTGAATGTCGTAAATATGTATTTTTAATTGGTGACTTGATTGAAATTTTGCTAACTAGTAACTAAAATTTAAAATTTACCGTTACTAGCATGAAAGGAATTAAATTTTAAACAATAAAATACGACCCTCATTTAATGTTCTTGTCACAATACTTTTAAATTATTGTTTTTATAATTATTGCATTTTATTACTCATTAGAGGAATATTTTCACAAAAATTACACAAGTGTAACTCATAAACTAGTATATATATGTGGATAATGATGATTGATTTGTAAGAACGAACATTCTGTTATTTGTTGAATACAATTTTTTTTTTAAAAAAAGATGGGAATTCTCTTTTTCTTTTATTCACTTGTCTGTTTTTTGTTGGTAATTAGTGAAAGCATTTCTTCTTCCTCTGTGATGATGCATCATGTTTACTCTCCCACTGAAGCTTTTGCTTTGCTTCACTTCAAACAATCCTTTCAAATCTCTGACCAACCTAGCTGTTGGGATGAGACTGATCTGCATTATGAGAGATATTTTGATATCCCAAAAACAAAGTCTTGGAATGAGAGTAGGGATTGCTGCAGTTGGGACGGGGTCACTTGTGACATGTTAACCGGTCATGTTATCGGATTGGACCTTAGTTGCAGTTTGCTTTTGGGTACTATTCATCCCAATAGCAGCCTCTTCCAACTCCATCATCTCCGGACACTAAACCTTGCTTGCAATGACTTGTATTCTTCTTCAATCCCGCATAACATTGGCCGATTGAGGAATTTGAGGCATCTCAACCTTTCTTATTCTTTCTCTGGAGGGGAAATCCCAACAGAAATATCATACCTTTCCAATTTGGTTTCACTTGACCTTTATTGTTATGAATGTGAACTTGATGAGAGAACATTTGAAACAATTCTTCAAAACTTCACAAATCTGGAGGTAGTTTCTCTCTATTGTGTCAACATCTCATCTTCAATACCTGTGAATATTTCTTCGTCCTCGTTAAGGTACGTGAACCTTGTAAATACTAATCTGCGAGGTGTTATCACAGAGAGCTTTTTCCTTCTGCCAAATTTGGAAAGGCTCTATTTGAGTTGGAATGATCTTCTCAAAGGAGTTTTACCAAAGATCCACCCGAGCAACACTCTGTTGGAGTTGGATATTTCCTACACAGGATCTCCGGTGAGCTGCCTGATTCAATTGGCACCTTGAGTTCATTGAATCTCTGAACATGTATAGATGCCAATTCTCTGGTTCCATTCCTGAATCCATTGGCAATCTTACACAAATGCGGAAATTGAATTTTGGAAATAATCATTTCACCGGCTATAATCCTTCCACAATCTCTAAATTGAAGCACCTCACATCCCTAGACCTTTCGTCCAACTCCTTTTCAGGTGAAATTCCCGATATTTTTTCTAACCTCCAAGAGCTATGTTATTTATCTCTTTTTGACAACAGCTTCATCGGTTCGTTTCCTTCTACAATTGTAAGATTGACACAACTTCAACACTTAGACTTGTCGCACAACTCACTGAATGGTACCATACCATCTTCGGTCTTTAGCCTCCCTTTGCTATCTTCATTGTCGCTCCAACATAATCAATTTAGTGGACTAGCCGATGAGTTCAAAACAAACCCAACATTAGAACACCTAGATTTAAGCCATAATCAACTCAGTGGTTCTTTTCCTCAGTCACTTGCGAGTCTCACAAACCTTTCTACCCTCATCCTTTCATCAAATAACATCACCGTCAATGAGGGAATACAAATCACTTTTCCTAGCCTAGAAGTTTTACAGTTATCGTCTTGTGAACTGAAGGATTTTCCACACTTCTTGACAAATGTGAAGTCACTTAGGATCTTGGATATTTCTAACAATAAGGTTCGTGGCCAAATCCCAAACTGGTTTAGCGGCATGAGGTGGGACAACTTGTGGTACCTAAACCTTTCGCATAATTCTTTAACAGGCCACCTACAACTATTTCATTTCCATAATCTAGAGTATCTTGATCTTAAATTTAACTCCCTTCAAGGTCCAATACCTTCATCCATTTGTAACATGAACGATCTTCAATTTCTACTTTTATCACACAACGACTTCAGTAACTCGATTCCAAGTTGCTTGGGAAGCATGTCTAGTCTAACAGTGTTGGACTTAAGAAGGAACAATTTCACTGGGAGTCTTCCATCGTTATGTGCGCAGAGCACTTCATTGAGTACCATTGTCTTGAATGGTAATCAATTTAAAGGAACTCTCCCTGTGTCGTTGCTCAACTGCAGTGGTTTAGAAGTTCTTGATTTGGGGAATAACGCTATAAATGACACATTTCCTGCTTGGCTAGGAACACTTCAACAACTGCAGGTCTTAATATTAAAGTCCAATGTGTTCCATGGACCAATTAGTACTTGTCAGAGTAGGTTTTGCTTTCCCAAGTTGCGAATTTTTGATCTTTCGCATAACAAATTCAGTGGCTCTCTACCTGCAAAAGTTTTTGGAAACTTCAAGGCAATGATTAAATTAGACGGTGAAGACACACGAGAGATCATGTACATGATGCCATCTATAATGCCATTTTACTCATCATCATATGAGGATTCTGTGAGTTTGGTGATCAAAGGGCAGGATATTGAGCTAGAAAGAATCAGCACAATTATGACAACCATAGACCTCTCGTGTAACCATTTTGAAGGTGTCATTCCGAAAACACTAAAGGATCTCAGCTCACTTTGGCTACTCAATTTATCCCATAACAATCTCATAGGTCATATTCCAATGGAATTGGGGAAATTGAATAAGCTTGAAGCATTAGATCTCTCTTGGAATCGGCTCACTGGAAAGATTCCGCAGGAATTGACAAGGCTAACATTTCTGGAAAAGTTAAACCTTTCTCAGAATGTTCTCGTTGGACCAATTCCTCACGTTCTACAATTCAACACATTTGTAAAATAGACTCGTATGGCGGTAACCTTGATCTATGTGGTCCTCCTTTATCAAGCAATGTGGAACGAAGTGATCTATCCCATGTTCCTCAACCATTGGAGTCTGAAGACGAGTCATATTTTTTTAGTGGATTTACGTGGGAATCAGTAGTCATTGGCTACAGCTGTGGACTAGTTGTTGGAACTGTTGTGTGGAGCCTCATGTTTAAATATCGTAAGCCCGAATGGTTTGTCAATTTTTTTGAAGGCATTTATCCCAAGAAAATGAGAATGTCAATGAAGAGAGCTCAGAGACGACGGACTTAATGGAAGATTGCAGGAGTGGACTTTTCTGTTTTTTTAATCTTCTTTTTGTTGTTTGTATATGCTTGATAGCAATATAATTGCATGTATTGTTTTGTGAATTTCCACTGCATTAAAATTAGTGTTCTCCAATCAATAATTCCTTTAGCATATATAAAAAAATTAAAACTCAAAATAAGAACAAGAGGACATAAAACATAACTTTCCTTTGTACTAAAACAATTTATTCAATTACATTCTTGAGTTTAAGCAACTTCAACATGTTTGATAATATCATCTGATCAAATAATTTATATTAAAAATGATGGATTTAAGATCACTCAAATCCTCTTATAAATTGATTATTGTATAATGGTGATCCTCATGCCTTCCCTTAATTGAGAGAATGAGCCAAAGTTGTCATGACATGAGCTTGATCTGAAATAATTTGTGTAGTTGAAGGATTTTGTCCCAAAACAATATAATACAATAACCATCATCATAATTATCCATTCCATGTGCCATTAGTTGCCATACTAAACTTCCTCCCATATTGTTCCACCTTCTTTTGCCAAATTATACACATTTCTATATACACTACTCATAAATATATCTCTTGATCCTTGACCTCTACTAGACTTTCCAAATTCAGCAAGCACTAAAGGTTTCTTTAATATATTTCTTGCATCTTCCCAATGACTTGTTATCCACTTTTCCATCCACACCAATTGTGCTTCATCACTTTGTCCAGATACCCTATAACGATCGCTATAAAGAAATATTTAGACCTATTTAATGAAAACATATGAAATTGTACGTAGAGAAAAGATGTAAAAACTACCATTGGTCAGTGTATGCATGGATAGTAGCAAAATCAATCTCATTGATAAGATGGTTACTAATGAAATCTGTTCCAACTTGATAGCCAGGATTAACTGATTTTCTTTCAGGAATTGAATCACCATAAAATCCCTCCATTCCAACCTCTAACAAGTGCTTGTTGTCTAATGACTTCACAAAACTTGCCATTTCTTGAACCCAATATTAGTCATTTAACAATATTAGTCAAAAACGTCAATCACAAATTTGATATTTCTAAAATTCAATTAATTAAACTTGAATTGGGACTTACATTAACAGTTTTTCCTGAATAGTCAGCTTGATCGCGAGGCTCATTTATGAGTTCCCATGCCATAATTGTTGGATCATCTTTGTAAGCAACTTTAGTAATACTATTCAACCTTGTACCCACTTTCTGTAACAATTTCATAATATTATTAATAAAAAAAGTTGTTTATATGTATTAAATAATAATTACCCCATATATTCCTCAATATGGTTCTTCAAGTATTTTTTGAGCATAGGATGAGTATAGAATTCATCGTCATTACTAATCTGAGCTCCTGCATTTCGTGCCCACCAAACATATTGAGCTTTTCCTCCAAAATCATTCCATTGATTTACAAAGCTCAAGATTAAATGAACACCATATTTCTTAGCTTCCGCGATCACAAAATCCAAACCCTAAATTTAGAACAAGTATATCTAATCAAGGGACTGATCACATGCATTACAACGCGATAATGTAAAAAAGTTATCAAAACTATAATAACAAACGTCCTTTACCTGAAAAACACGTTCATCATAAACACCAGGTGATATTTGTAATGCTCTATCACCTCCATCACTAAAAGCCCAAGTACGACAAACAGAAAGACCAGCGGTAGAAGCATCTTTAAGAACCTCAGTGACTTTGTATCTTTCAGTAGGGTCAGCAGAAACATGCATCAACCAATATGAGTTGAAACCATTGAATAGAAAAGGGGATCCATTGAGTTCAAAATGAGAATCTTTAACTCCTATAACCCCGAATTTGCTTCACAAGCAAGAGCTAAGAACAAGAGAAAGAGCCCAAAAATGCAACTTCTTTTTGTATAAGACAGTTTGTATAATGAATTGTAGAAGATATATGTGTGATATGTTAGATGTCACCTTTTATAGTGTGTTGAAGATAAGGAAATTTACTAAAAATAGCAAAACTTGCAAAAACTAAAAAAAATTCCTAGTGGATATAATTGGATATTGAGATTTTATGAAAAAATATATTTTTTAAGGCAGTTATTTGGTTAAGATAGAAACAGAGTTTTGTTGAAAAATTTGTATGGGAAGAAAAGAAGAAGAAAAATATGGAAACATTAATTGGTTAGTTTTTTTTAAGGTTTGTTCACTACTAGATTTGATGATGAAATAATACTGAAACGTGTACTCATAGTATTTGATAGTAATATACTTGAATATATAATGCAAATACCTGAAGAACTCTTTCATAAATTTTAATTTCTATGTGGATGTGTTATGTGTGTAATTTAATCTTATTTTATTGCAAGGAATTGAGACAAAATAAAAATAAAAATAAAAATATTTTTAAAAAAAAGTTAAAAGAGAAATGAAGAGGGCATAACATTATTTGGGGTTATTCGAAATAAGATGTTCTGACCACTTATAAAATGAATATGAAAAAAATAACATTTTAAAATTTCTTATGTCTAAAAATTAAAAACTCTCGTAAAAAATCATAAAATTAAAATAAAATAAAATTGTAGTGGCCTACAATTTACAGAAACTCAATTTATATACTTGATTAGAATATGGGTACTTTTAGTTCCATTGTTTGAGAAGTGGAGAAAAGGAATTTAGGAAGATGCATTCTTAAAGAATAAGTGGATTACTTATTTATTTTCTGACGTGAATAAGTGAATTTCTTACTTATTTTTTGGTGTCATATTTAGGATCTTTGATGTTTATTCTATGCACATTTGACAAATTTCATAGTCCATATGAGAGCGGCGACTATCGCATTGAGGACTATATGTCCCAAGTATCGTTTTGGATGAAGTAGTTACGAATTTAAACTTAGAATATGCGAATTTAAAATAAGTGTGATCTTATTATACATGAAGGCGGATGCAATAATTTAACTATGAGTTCAGTCAAACTCAATATTTTTTTCACATAACATATGTGTAGAAGTCAAAAAAACAAAAACAAATAGAGATTATGTATCCATAATTAAAAAGTACAATTAGTTCAGTTTAAATTCTAAATTCAACCCAGAGTATATGTATATGGAGTGGAAGTTGAAAACAATATGTTCACTTCAACTCAGAACTCGCCCTGAATCCGCCTCTGGAAGTAACCAATTATTCCAGGGCTATGGAGGAAAAGTTGAAAAGATTGTCCCCAAAATACTATTATATACCAATATAAAGTAAGATTTGACTTATACAGTATAATTTTCCGACGAAGAGTGCTCAGCTGACCACCCAGGAACCACCGTAGCTCTGCCCATGGTCCTGAGAAGTAACCATCTATTCTAGGAGTTTGGAGGAAAAGTTAAAAACATCATCCCCGAAGCCTGGATCAGTAATAGTGAAATCACATGGCTGCTGCTGTTGCTGCAAATTATCATCAGTGCAAATACTGTAATTCCCAAATGGACTAGATTGAAGTACATTCTTCCACATATCACTATTTTCTTGTTGTATATTACTAGTATATTTTGGTGTCGATTCATAAAAATCGCTTCCATCAAACATCTTTATTTGAGAAGTCTGGTGCACTAAGCTCTCGTTATGTGTTCTAAAACAAAAAAAATAATTAGCTACGAGCTACTTCATCCGTTCCTATTTAGTTGTCCTGTTAGGCTATTGTTTTACAGAATTCTTAAGAAAAAATTAGTTAGGAGTGTAATTTGACTAATATATATCTTATTAATTTTTTATCTTTATTTATTTCCATAAATATCATGTCAAGTCAAACGATGCACCTAAAATCGAACGAAAAGAGTACTTTTTTTTCTTGATTTATTGAATTGAAAAATATTTAAAAATAATTATTTTTAATATACACAACAACTAAACGAGACAGTATTTAGCAATGAACAAATGACCAAATTTGTAGCTAATTTGGGGTCATCATTAGTGTTCATATCAGTCCATTTAAGCTTATCTTAGTTTTTAATAATATAAGTACTTCAAATACTCTATATCTTCGTGTATAAATCTCTTAACAAAAAATATAATTTTCTAATTAGGCAGCATAATTCACTAAGCATTTCGAGTTCACACAGAATTTGACAAAAAATGACTCACTCCAACTCCTAAGTGGTGAGATCTAAGCCACCTATACCCTAATACAAGGATGTTCATAATACAATTTTATCGTATCATCAAATTAAACAGTATCACATAAAATATAACGAAGAAAGTACTAAAATTTGTAATAATTATTTTACCTTTGTGTGTGATTGAGCAAGGAAGTGCAATTAGGACGAACAAAAGCAAGAGCAGCAGCATCTCCAAAGGTAAAATAAGAGGTGTCAAATGGACGAGTCGAGATGAATTTTTGAAGAGTTTGTTGAGGAAGTAAGCATTTTTTTGATGCAGGACTATTTAATTCTTCAGGAGGATGAGCAAATGCTTTGTGAAATATAGCCAACATTGTATCTTTTTTTAGCTTCAAGATGAATATCTAACAACAATATAAAAAAAATGGTTACTGAAGGAGGATATATATATATAATACACTTTTTACATTAATGTTTTTGTTTTTATTTTTATTTTTATAGTATAATAATAATAATAAAGGAGGCCAAAGATGACATATGTCAATTTTATTTTGGAGTGATAGTGTGACGTGACAATGATGAGGATGGATAAGGTTTCTCGTATTCCCATGATGTCTTTATCCATTTAGATTTTATTAAGAATTTTAATATGAAATAATCCAAACTATATTAAATTGAAAAAATAATTAAATCTAAAAATATCTCTCTTTATCACAGTTTGATTCAAAACTCAGTATCACTAATAGTTTATCCAAAAATGCTCTTTTCTTATTTAATGGATTATTTTTTTAAAAAAAATATGTATATATATTATATACTATTAAACACATTTTATTTATTATAAAATAAGTTAGTAATAACTTTTTCTTAAGTCAAAATAAAAATAACATGACTAAATGTACCTTTTTTTTTTACTAATAACATATATATTATACATTACATTATATTATATCATATATTATATTAAATTAAATTAAATTATATTATACATTAGTATAAGAGGCTAGAACACACATGTTGACGATGACATGTGTGTTTCTTGGAATTAAATTTCTTATTGAAGGGCATTCTTGTAATATAGTATTAAAAGAATTTTAATAATTTTCATATATTTAGAAATTATGTAATTAATATTATTAATTATAATAATTAGTAATTTTTAAAAAATATAAAAAAAATATCAGTCAACTCTCAAATTTTATTGGTGTCACATAAATTGGGATAATAGAGTAAAATTATTTTTAATAATTTATATATTTACAAATTTTATAAACTATAAATTGCAATATAAATGTCTCTAAATTTTTTTTTCGATGATTAATATATTGTATAGAAATTCACATTATTTTTTATTCCTTATCTGTTTAGTTATTATTTATTTCTCCAAATATTTTATTTCTGATTATAGTTTTCTTTTTGTTAAGCTTTATGTCAGCTGTGGAGGCGAGCCGAATTATTTTTTTCTATAAAAAGGAAGAAATTGAGCTTAAAACCACTTGAAGTGGGGCCAACAAGCTTTAACAAATCTGTGGGTGCTTATAAAATGTTTAGCGGTCTATATTCAAAATTAGAGGATATAAATATCAGCTGAAATTAAATTAAATGATATTCATTATGTCTTTAATTTAACACTATTTTATCCATTCCATATTAGATAAACACTTTCTATACTATATAGTGATTAAGAAATCATTAATAAATTGATCAACTTTACTATTTTATCCTTTATTCATATCAATTCCTATCAAAATAAGTTAGAAAAAACCATACAAAGAGTATAGAAATAACTAGTATTGAGAATTGTTCACATTCAAAAGGCCATATTGATTGTAATTTGTAGTAAGTGATTAAGTAATATAAGATAACTATTTTTAATAAGATCCTTAATAAAATCGGTTATTATTGATATCTTCTTTTCGGTTCCTTTTCCATAAGTCCATAACCATTGCTCAGAAAAGAAAGAGATAAGAAGACTATGAAAAATATGCTCAGAAATCCATAATACAATCGGCCCATAACGATCAAATTGATTATCTTCATACTCAAATCGAAGGAGTATGAAATTAAAATAATATATTTTTAATTTCGATTTACGTGACATTGTTTAACTCAATGTGATTTTGAAAAATAGATTCTTTTTGTGATCTAATCAATCAATTGTATGGATTTAAAAAATAGTTAATATTTGAAATTTTGCATGTGCCACATAAATTAGAACAAAGAGAGTAATAAATATTATTTTCAAAATTCTGTAAAAAAAGGTACTACAAATCACAATAGCTAACAATTTAAAATATTTTTACAATCATATAAAAATTTCAATAACTTCTCAAATTTCATAATATATGACATAAGAAGAGGGAATAACCAATATATTTATAAAAATAAATGACATATAAAATGAAATGGAGAGAGTATTAGTTTTTGAAAATGGAAAAGGACAAAACACATATAAAATTAAAACACATATAAAAAACAAGTTGGTTTAACTCTCAAACATAAAAAGTAACATATGTTATTAAAAACTTTAATAAAAAGTACTATAATTTACAATAAATAATAACTTAAAATATCTACAAGAGAACAAAAAAAAGACTAATTTTTGTACTGCTTGTGTCACATATATTAGGATTGGGATGATTTTAAAATTTTAATTTTGGTTATACATTATAAAATAGCCGAAAAATTGAATGATATAATTTTTTTTAAAATAACCGAATGAATCGTCCTATCGATAACCCTAATGTTACTTCTACTCTGTTTATTTTTACTTAAATTTAGAAAGATATGCTTCATTTCTACCCTCAATCTTATCGCTACATTTATTTGCTATTTAAAATTGAAATTAAAAAGACAAATGACAAATAAGTTTCTATATTAGCTCACTTATGAGCAAAATATATTATAACAATCTTTACTAATTTTATAACAATACATAAACTATACTCCCTCCGTCCCATATTAGATGGGCACTTCCAACTTTACACGGTGATTAAGAAATCATTAATACATTGGAAGACTTCACCATTTTGCCCTTTCTTTATATCAATGCACATTGAAATGAGTTACAAAAAATACACATACAATATAGGAATGGTCATATTAATTGTAGGGGTAAAATGGAAAAGAATTAATTAATTCTATCCTAATTTAATAAGTGCTCAAATAATATGAAAAATAAAAATTTAGTAAGATTCTCATCTAATATGGGACGGAGAGAGTATTAGTTTTTGAAAATGGAAAAGGACAAAACACATATAAAATTAAAACACATATAAAAAACAAGTTGGTTTAACTCTCAAACATAAAAAGTAACATATGTTATTAAAAACTTTAATAAAAAGTACTATAATTTACAATAAATAATAACTTAAAATATCTACAAGACAACAAAAAAAAGACTAATTTTTGTACTGCTTGTGTCACATATATTAGGATTGGATGATTTTAAAATTTTAATTTTGGTTATACATTATAAAATAGCCGAAAAATTGAATGATATAATTTTTTTTAAAGTAACCGAATGAATCGTCCTATCGATAACCCTAATGTTTCTTCTACTCTGTTTATTTTTACTTAAATTTAGAAAGATATGCTTCATTTCTACCCTCAATCTTATCGCTACATTTATTTGCTATTTAAAATTGAAATTAAAAAGACAAATGACAAATAAGTTTCTATATTAGCTCACTTATGAGCAAAATATATTATAACAATCTTTACTAATTTTATAACAATACATAAACTATACTCCCTCCGTCCCATATTAGATGGGCACTTCCAACTTTACACGGTGATTAAGAAATCATTAATACATTGGAAGACTTCACCATTTTGCCCTTTGTTTATATCAATGCACATTGAAATGAGTTACAAAAAATACACATACAATATAGGAAGGGTCATATTAATTGTAGGGTAAAATGAAAAAGAATTAATTAATTCTATCCTAATTTAATAAGTGCTCAAATAATATGAAAAAATTTATTTTAGTAAAATTCTCATCTAATATGGGACGGAGAGAGTAACAATATAACTTTATTAATGTTGGGCCCGGGCAGCGCCCGGGCTTTCTTTACTAGTATATATATATAAAATAATGTAGTAGTAGTCTGTTAAAGACAGCTAACGTCAAGATTGACTAGTGTTGAAAATGCTAACGTAGGAGCCTGCGTCATTTATATTCTTTGGACCCATTTTTTAATGAATTAATGATTGGCTGCACTATTATATATATTGAGGATTTTTGCATATATTAAATTAGGAAAAACAGACAAATAATGGAAACTGAAGAAAATATTGTAATTGTTGGTGCTGGCATAGCTGGTCTTGCTACTTCTTTGGCCCTTCACAGGTAATAATGGTTGCTTCCTTCGTCTCAGTTTATGTGATAGTTTTCGATTTTTAAAAGTCAAATAATTTAAGTTTGATTGAAAATTTGTGTATGAAATCCCCTACCGTAAAAAGTACTATAAATCACAATACTTGATAATTCAAAATGTTTAAAAGATCTATGAAAAACTTATGGTTAAAGATACTCTTGTTTGAATCTCGAAATATGAAAAGTGCCACGTAAAATAGGATAGGGATAGTATTATATTTCGTGTATATACTTGTTCAATAATCACATGATCTACTTCCAAAAGTTTGATTTCTCATATCATAATACAAAAATATGCCTTGATCTCATGAACATTTATGCTCTTCAATTTTGGATGTGCATAAGCAAACATTTAAACTATCTATAAGTTAAATAAGTAGACACACGTCCTATGTGACATAATACACATAGGATGCAGAACTGCCACGTAGGATGCCACACGGGACACGGGCGTTTACTTGTTCAACTTTTGAATAGTTTAAGTTGTCTATTTGTACACACTCAAAGTTGGAGGACATAGATGCTAGTTTGGGTCAGGTTAGATGATACATTTATGCATTAGGCCTTTCTAGAATATGATTTTTCTGGTATAATAGCTATTAGTTGAGTGACGATTTGAGAAATAACTCGGCGGAAGGCGTGTCTTGTATGTAATATGTAGGTTGGGGCTGCGGAGTATTGTGTTGGAATCAACAGATTCGTTGCGAGCTACTGGATTTGCATTGGCGTTGTGGACTAATGCCTGGAGAGCTTTGGATGCATTGGACATTGGGGACTCTCTTAGACAACGTTCCTTATCCATTACTGGGTATACCTCTTTATTATTAGTTAGGATTTAGGATTACTAACAACTTGAAGTTCAATTTCGGATTTTTATGGTCAAATGTGTTTTCCGGAGTTCTAGATATGGAAGAAAGTTGAAAAATTGATTGTCCAAAATGCGTTCGAGTTGATGTGCAGGCTTAAAAGTTTCTCAGCGGATTCAGGTGCACCTATCAAGGAGGTATCATTTGTGGGGAATAACAGGTTAGCATTATATCAATTTTCGTATTAGTTGGGGTCGGTTATATAAGTCCTTTTATCTATTCATTTTATGTATGTTCATTTTGTTCTAAAACATAATAATTTAGTTTGAGAGACAAATTCGAAATTTCTCTAAAATTAGAGGTTCTTTGAGTATTGCAATCTATATAGAGATGTATAAATTTCTAACCATCGATATAAAGACTCCTCACAAAGGTCGAAGTAATGCAAGTACTGGTAAGAACAGCTAATGTATTTAACTTCTGGTTCTCACAGCATCGATCTTTGTAGAGAACAATCACATCTGTTTACGAAGGACTTAAGTGTGAATCAAGGATGCTGCATACCGAATTTTCTGAATTGTTCACTAGTACTGAATTGATGTGGTTTTGTATGTCTTTCTTCTGACTATTGGATGGACTGATCATTCGTCAGCCAACATTTCTCTTTTTGAAGTCAATAGTCATCTAAGGTCAGTTATATTACGTTGCAGTGTGGAGTATGAAAGTCGTTGTGTGAGAAGAAAAGATCTGTTGGAGACATTAGCTAATGAACTGCCTCAAGGTGTGATTAGATATTCTTCCAAAGTCGATTCCATTGAAGAATCTGGACCATTGAAATTGGTACATCTTGCAGATGGTTCCACTATTAGAACCAAGGTAAATCTTTCTCTGAAATTCTTAACTTGGAATCCCTATTATTGGAAACTTCAACCAACGTGATAATTCAAACGTGTATTTGACCATTTATCTCAATTCCTTTCGTTAGTCTAGCTAGTACGTGACTAACTTTGTTAAGCTTCAATTAAGGCCTTAATTGGGTGTGACGGAGTCAATTCTGTGGTGGCAAACTGGCTTGGGCTTCAGAAACCTGTCTATTCTGGGCGCTCTGCAATTAGAGGCTTTGTTGAGTATCCGGAAAAACATGGTTATCAGCCTAAGTTCCACGCGTATTTTGGAGGTGGAGTTCGGTTTGGATTTCTTCCTAGTGATGAGAAGAGTTTGTACTGGTTTTGCACATTCACACCATCTGTTGTTCATTGTAAGCCAGCACCTACATACTGTTTCTTTTGAAGATTTACTTTTCGAAGGATATTTTTGTTGGCTAGAGAGCTTACCTCTCTGAAAGGGGAGCCTTGACGTAATTGGTAAAGTTATTGTCACGTGACCTAGAGGTTGCGGATTTGAGCTGTGGAAACAGCCTCTTGCAGAAATGCAGGGTAAGACTGCGTATAATAGACCCCTGTGGTCCAGACCTTCCCCGAACCCTGTACATAGTGGGAGCTTAGTGCACCGAGCAGCCCAGATAGCTTACATTTCATAAACTAGTCATGTTTAGTTGTTCATTTTAATTGGGATTTTATGCAGTTGATGGAAATGCAGAACAAGATCCAATGAAATTGAAGCAATTCGTGTTGAACAAGGCTAGTAATGTGTCTAAAGAACTCTCCACCGTTATAGAGAGAACAACGCTCGACTGTATATCTGTCGCTCAGCTGAAATTGAGATTGCCATGGAATGTTCTGTTTGGGAATATTTTGAAAAATAATGTTTGCGTGGTAGGTGATGCACTTCATCCCATGACTCCTGATCTTGGTCAAGGTGGATGTTCGGCTGTAGAGGACAGTGTTGTTATCGCAAAGTGCCTTGGAGAAGCCTTGATAAAACCGATAACAGAACAAGAAGACGATGAATCTATGAATATTAGGAAAGGACTCGAGAAGTATGCTAAAGAGAGAAGATGGAGAAGTTTTACATTTATCAGTGCTGCTTATTTATCTGGTTTCATACAAGAGAGTGATAACAAGATAATCAGTTTCTTAAGACAACATTTTTTGGCTGGAGTCACTATATCAGTTACACTAAGAATAGCTAACTTTGACTGCGGAAGACTAGCTGTTTCGTAGTAGCTCAGTTGGTTGGCTATCTAAACTTTTACGTTATTGGTGAGTGTTCGATTCTCCACCTTGTAATCACCTCTCCCTACTCCCCATTTGCCTTTTTTTATTTCTTTTTCAAAAAGCACATCCCTTGAACCTCTATGGTAGTAATAAACATGCATGTCAATTGCTTGATTCACTCTCCACGCTTTTGATGTTGTGATCCCATTCTTCTGATTGAAATAATGTAAAATGAACAAGAACTTAAAATTGCCTAATTAAGTAAGAGTTGATTTTAGTTAGGCAGCACAACCCAAATTAATTTTACATTTTGACAACTAATTAATCTCTACCATGTGACATGTTTAAGACTATACCATTTATTCGACCTAAATGGTAAGTATGATTCTCCTGTCTTCCAGTTGAATGCAAAGCAATCAACGATAGGTTTGAGTATCCAAATTTAACTTATATATACTAAGTCCACCTGGCTGATCACACATAAAGTCCACTATCAGTATAATAGGTGACAAGTTGTTTGCCTTGATTTCACAAAGAGTCACCCATAATTACTTTTACACAACTCGATAAGTGAAAAAATATTATTATTAATTTACAGTGATTTTAAAGTTTTTTGTCCTGTCCACCTGGCTGATCACACATAATAACACAGGCAGATCTAGTGAAGAAGCTATGAGTTCATTCGAATTCAATAGCTTTGGTTTAGATTCCTTATGTGCGTTAAAAAGAAGAAGGTAGAGTAGTATTGTTATTAAAGGAATAAATGAATTATACATTTTTCGACTTTCCAAGATTATCTTAGATTAAGAAATTCCCAAATAAATGGTTGTAGTGTTATCATATTGTAAGTATATATTTAAAGGTAGGGTAAGATCCATATACACACACTACTCTTCCCTGACCGCACTTGTGGAATTACACTAGGTAAGTTGTTGTAGCTGTTCGTGTGATTTAGTTGTTGTGAACGACTATAAAAGTTGGTTGTTATGTGTACATACTTGACACTACCCTTTTTTGTTATGTGTAACACATGTTTCTGTCTTTTATGTCAGGAAAGTTGGTTCATTGTATGTCTCAAGTTCACATTTCTGCTTTCTCTGTCGACCACTAGTTTTTTAGAAGATTTTTCTGCAGTGTGTGTTACACATGGTGTAATCTTCAACACTGATATGGTGTGTGTATATATATATTAGTATATGATGATTGATTTTGCAAGAACATCTTATTATTTGCTGAAAATAAGCAAAAGAAGATGGGACGTCTCTTTTTCTTTCATTCACTTGTCTGTTTTTTGTTGGTAATTAGTGAAAGCATTTCTTCTTCCTCTGTGATGATGCATCATGTTTGCTCTCCCACTGAAGCTTTTGCTTTGCTTCACTTCAAACAATCCTTTCGAATCTCTGACCAACCTAGCTGTTGGGTTGAGACTCATCTGCAATATGAGAGCTATGATATCCCAAAAACAAAATCTTGGAATGAGAGTAGGGATTGCTGCAGTTGGGACGGCGTAACTTGTGACATGTTAACCAGTCATGTTATCGGATTGGACCTTAGTTGCAGTCTGCTTAATGGAGCTGTTCATCCCAATAGCAGCCTCTTCCAACTCCATCATCTCCGGACACTAAACCTTGCTTACAATGACTTCAATTCTTCTTCAATCCCACATAACATTGGCCGATTGATGAATTTGAGGCATCTCAACCTTTCTCATTCTTTCTTTGAAGGGGAAATCCCAACAGAAATCTCATACCTTTCCAATTTGGTTTCACTTGATCTTTATTGTGATTACTGTGGTCTCCAACTTGATGAGAGAACATTTGAAACAATGCTTCAGAACTTCACAAATCTAGAGGTACTATCTCTCCATGGTGTCAACATCTCATCTCCATTACCTGTGAATATTTCTTCTTCCTCCTTAAGGTACGTGGATCTTGAACGTACTAATCTGCGAGGTGTTCTCACAGAGAGCTTTTTCCTTCTGCCAAAATTGGAAATGCTCTATTTGAATTACAATGATCTTCTCAAAGGAGTTTTACCAAAGATCCACCCGAGCAACACTCTGTTGGAGTTGGATATTTCCTACACAGGAATCTCCGGTGAGCTGCCTGATTCCATTGGCAATCTTACACAAATTAGGTATTTGGATTTCAGTAATAATCATTTCACCGGCCATATTCCTTCCACAATCTCTAAATTGAAGCACCTCAGATATCTAAAGTTTTCGTCCAACTCCTTTCCAGGTGAAATTCCCAATATTTTTTCTAACCTCAGAGAGCTACGTTATTTATATCTTTATAGAAATAGTTTCATCGGTTCGTTTCCTTCTACAATTGTAAGCTTGACACATCTTCAAGAGTTAGACTTGTCAAGTAATTCCCTATCTGGCCCACTGCCTAATAATTTTAGCATGCTTCAAAGGCTAACCCAACTGGAATTGTCGTACAACGCACTGAATGGTACCATACCATCTTCGGTCTTTAGCCTCCCTTTGCTATCTTCATTGTCGCTCCAACATAATCAATTTAGTGGACTACCCGATGAGTTCAAAACAAACCCAACATTAGAACACCTAGATTTAAGCCATAATCAACTCAGTGGTTCTTTTCCTCAGTCACTTGCGAGTCTCACAAACCTTTCTACCCTCATCCTTTCATCAAATAACATCACCGTCGATGAGGGAATACAAATCACTTTTCCTAGCCTAGAAGATTTGCGGTTATCATCTTGTGAACTGAAGGATTTTCCACACTTCTTGACAAATGTAAAGAAACTTCATGTCTTGGATATTTCTAACAATAAGATTCATGGCCAAATCCCAAACTGGTTTAGCGGCATAAGGTGGGACGACTTGTACTACCTGAATCTTTCGCATAATTCTTTAACAGGCCACCTACAACAATTTCATTTCCATAATCTATGGTATCTTGATCTTAAATTTAACTCCCTTCAGGGTCCACTACCTTCATCCATTTGTAACATGAACAATCTTCAATTTCTAGATTTATCACGCAACGACTTCAGTAACTCGATTCCAAGTTGCTTGGGAAGCATGTCTAGTCTAACAGTGTTGAACTTAAGAAGGAACAATTTCACTGGGAGTCTTCCATCGTTATGTGCGCAGAGCACTTCATTGAGAACCATTGTCTTGAATGGTAATCAATTTAAAGGAACTCTCCCTGTGTCGTTGCTCAACTGTAGTGATTTAGAAGTTCTTGATATGGGGAATAACGCTATAAATGACACATTTCCAGCTTGGCTAGGAACACTTCAACAACTGCAGGTCTTAATATTAAAGTCCAATTGTGTTCCATGGACCAATTAGTACTTGTCAGACTACGTTTTGCTTTCCCAAGTTGCGAATTTTTGATCTTTCGCGTAACAAATTCAGTGGCTCACTCCCTGCAAAAGTTTTTGGAAACTTCAAGGCAATGATTAAATTAGATGGTGAAGACACAGGAGAGATCGAGTACATGGAAGCATCTATGATGTCATATGATGATTCTGTGAATTTGGTGATCAAAGGGCAGGATATTGAGCTAGAAAGAATCAGCACAATTATGACAACCATAGACCTCTCGTGTAACCATTTTGAAGGTGTCATTCCGAAAACACTAAAGGATCTCAGCTCACTTTGGCTACTCAATTTATCCCATAACAATCTCATAGGTCATATTCCAATGGAATTGGGGAAATTGAATAAGCTTGAAGCATTAGATCTCTCTTGGAATCGGCTCACTGGAAAGATTCCGCAGGAATTGACAAGGCTAACATTCTGAAAGTAAACCTTTCTCAGAATGTTCTCGTTGGACCAATTCCTCACGTTCTACAATTCAACACATTTGAAAATGACTCGTATGGCGGTAACCTTGATCTATGTGGTCCTCCTTTATCAAAGCAATGTGGAACGAGTGCTCTATCCCATGTTCCTCAACCATTGGAGTCTGAAGACGAGTCATATTTTTTAGTGGATTTACGTGGGAATCAGTAGTCATTGGCTACAGCTGTGGACTAGTTGTTGGAACTGTTGTGTGGAGCCTCATGTTTAAATATCGTAAGCCAGAATGGTTTGTCGAATTTTTGAAGGCATTTATCCCAAGAAAATGAGAAGGTCAATGAAGAGAGCTCAGAGACGACGGACTTAATAGAAGATTGCAGGAGTGGACTTTTCTGTTTTTTTAATTTTCTTTCTGTTGTTTGTATATGATAGCAATATAATTGCATGTGTTATTTTGTGAATTTCCACTGGATTAAATTAGTGTTCTTGATCTTTGCTTTCAAACTAAAAATTAAACTCAAAATAAAAACAAGAGGACATAAAACATAACTTTCCTTTTTACTAAAACAATTTATTCAATTACATTCTTGAGTTTAATTAATCAACTTCAACATGTTTGGTAATATCATCTCAACTAATTAATATTAAAAATGATGGATTTAAGATCATTCAAATCCTCTTATAAATTGATTATTGTATAATGGTGATCCTCATGTCTTTTCACTCAATTGAAAGAATGTGCCAAAGCTGTCAAGACATGAGCTTGATCTGAAATAATTTGTGTAGTTGAAGGATTTTGTCCCAAAACAATACAATAACCATCATCATAATTCTCCATTCCATGTGCCATTAGTTGCCATACTAAACTTCCTGCCATTGTTCCACCTTCTTTTGCCAAATTATACACATTTCTATATACACTACTCATAAATATATCTCTTGATCCTTGACCTCTACTAGACTTTCCAAATTCAGCAAGCACTAAAGGTTTCTTTTATATATTTCTTGCATCTTCCCAATGACTTGTTATCCACTTTTCCATCCACACCAATTGTGCATCATCACTTTGTCCGGACACCCTATAACAACGATCGATATAAAGAAATATTTAGACCTATTTAATGAAAACATATGAAATTGTACGTAGGGAAAAGATATAAAAACTACCATTGGTCAGTGTATGCATGGATAGTCGCAAAGTCAATTTCATTGATAAGATGGTTACTAATGAAATATGTTCCAACTTGATAACCAGGATTAACTGACTTCCTTTCAGGAATTGAATCACCATAAAATCCCTCCATTCCAACCTCTAACAAGTGTTTGTTGTCTAATGACTTCACAAAACTTGCCATTTCTTGAACCCAAGCTTATAACAATATTTGTCAAAAACGTCAATCATAGATTTGATATTTCTAAAATTCAACTTGAATTGGGACTTACATTAACAGTTTTTCCTGAATAGTCAGCTTGATCGCATGGTTCATTCATGAGTTCCCATGCCATAATTGTTGGATCATCTTTGTAAGCAACTTTAGTAATACTATTCAACCTTGTAACCACTTTCTGTAACAATTTCATAATATTATTAATAAAAAATGTTGTTTATATGTATTAAATAATAATTACCCCATATATACCTCAATATGGTTCTTCAAGTATTTTTTGAGCATAGGATGAGTATAGAATTCATCGTCATTACTAATCTGAGCGCCTGCATTTCGTGCCCACCAAACATATTGAGTTTTTCCTCCAAAATTGTTTCATTGATTTACAAAGCTCAATATTAAAGGAACACCATATTTCTTAGCTTCCGCGATCACAAAATCCAAACCGTAAATTCTTAAGAAAAAACAGTTAGCTACGAGCTACTCCATCTGCTCCTATTTAGTTGTCATGTTAGGCTATTGTTTTACACAACTCTTAAGAAAATATTAGTTAGGAGTGTAATTTGACTAATATATCTTTTTTTTTTAGTCTTTATTTATTTCTCTTCTCTAAATTCGAAAATAAATACTTTTCTTTTTAATCCGTCCCAAAAAGAATGTTACTTTACTAGAAATAATTTAACTTTAAAATACCATTTTTACCCCTAATGAAATGATTTTCAACACCAGAAATATCTAAAAATTATTTTAGACCACAAATGTAACATCCGACAATTTAAAATGAATATGAAGAAGCTTGAAATTGGAAGTAGTCATTTTTTTGAAAAATTCAGAATCTGGAAATTTGGCTAAATTCAAAATCTGGAAATTTGGCTAAGTGTGGAAATCAGTGAGTTTTTGGCCAACTTGGAGTAGTCATAAATCCTAGCTCAAGCTGAGCCAAAAGTAGTTCCAGTTATGTTTGGAAAGCCCTTGGAATGATCTTTCCAACGCCACCGAGTTTGCTCGATTCCGAGTTCGTATGAGCGAGTTATGCCCTTTGAAAGTTGGGCAGTTGGCGGGGAGTCCATCCGGAAATTTAAGGGCATTTTGGTCTTTTCACAAATCATTTCTTTTGAGGTTATATTGTTGTGTTAGGCTGATTGTGGATCATTTTTGTTCCATTTTAAAAAGAGTAAAAGTTAGGGTTCTTGAGTGAAGAAGAGAAGAAGAGAGAAAGAAGAAAAGAAGAAGAGGAGATCAAGGAGATTCGTCAAGATCATCGTGGATTTTCGTCGGGGGTGATCCCTATCAAAGTATGTGAGTCTTTAGTGTGGGTTGATCCTTTCCCCCCACACACCAAGCTCATTTTTATGATTTGAGAAAAGATTGGATTTGTTGTTGAAGTTGTTGAAGTTGTTAGTTGTGTTGTGGAAGTTATTGTTGGTTGTGGGACATGATTTGGTTGTGTTCTTAAGTTGAATCTCTTGTATGTTGAGGGATTTTATCATCCTTAGTATTGGTTGGTTCATACCTCCACACACCAACTCGTTTTTAATTCCAAGAAAAGATTTATTTTGGTTGTTGAAGTTGTTGGTTGTGTTGTTGAAGTTCTTGCTGATTTGGGACAGGATTTGGTTTGTGTTTTTGAGTGGAATTCACTGTATGTTGAGGGGTTTATGACCCCAAGTGTTTGGGAAAAAAACCTTTGAAGTTAAGAGGGTTTAGAGTTGGCAACATGAAGGAGAAAAGTCAGGCTGCTTTCAGGAAACAAGTCTGCGTTGCAGCTGTGTTCCCTCTGTGAACAGAATCTGATCTGTTTTCAGAATTTAATTTCGAAATTCTTCTTAAGTTTAGCTGTCCTAAATTATTCCTAATCATCATGGGGTCCTTCCAAACACAAATCATTACTCTTGAATTCATAATCCAATTCAAGGAGAGTTAGTTCCAAGTCAAGTAAAGTTAGAAGTCAAGTGATGTTAAGAGTTAAGCTTAGAAGTGAAGTAAGTCAAATCAAGTTTTCAAAGTTGTTCAAGAGTCTTTAGTGAATGTTTTAGCTTCATTTTTTAAGACTCGAGTTTTCAAGTCAAGTCAAAAGTATTGAGTTTCAAGTCAAGTCAAAAGTTAAGAGTTTCATGTTAAGTTAAGAGTTTCACATCAAGCCAAGAGTACAAGTAAAGTAAAGAGTTTTAAGTTGAGTTCATTTCTCAAAGTTATTAGGGAACTATGTATTCCCAAAGAAGTTTTAAAGAAATGTCTTTACATTT